CACAGGCAGATTTGGATGGGCATTGATACGTGGAAGTGCTGAGGCACTTGTGCGCTATAGTGCAGGGAGTTGGGCGCTGAAGAAGAAGCTGCGCTAGAAAGGCGATGAGGCTGGGCGCTGGCTGCAGGGAAACCATAGCTGCGCTAGCCTAAGCTAGTAGTAGAAGGATTAGTAAGTAGGCATCAGTGAGTGACATTCAAAGTAGATCTCCGTAGGTGAGAGTGTGCATGCATAGTGTAGGGAAGAGAACCAAGGCAGAGTTATTGAGAGAGAGTAAGAGAGAGCAAAGCAGGGAGTGAGTCTGGATATGGTGAACACTTACCTGTGTGCACCACACTTGTGATCTGAAGGGGGACGCTGGCTGAGCCAGGTCCCACGCTGTTGTATGACGAGGGAGACTTATCTCTTGTTGGCGCTGAACTCTGGAACGCATGATACTCTTTGTATTAAGTGACATTGATAATATAAGCTGTGCTACTTGGTTCTTATCTTCTCTCAATCTGGTTTTGTGTGAGACCACTTTGTACGTGTGATGACATGTGTGCATGCAGTGTGATGCACTCGAGCAAGCTGTGAACAGTCAGGTTCCTTGCATTGCAGTCTTGTCGTTGGGTGCTTCAGAAGGTGGTGCCAATCTTAAAGCTCCATTGGTCTTGCAGGTCGCTCTTGAATTGCTTGCGAAAAGGCCCATTCTAATTCATCTTGGGCTATTTTCGTTGGGGAGCGTTCCCCGTTATTTCCACGATGGCAATCTTTGAGGGAGGTGCTCCTCGACTTGCTCGATCCGCTTAGATTTGACCCATATCTTGTCGCTTTTTCGTGGACCTTGCTCTCCGGAAGTGCTTAGATTTGACCCGTATCTTGTCGCTTGTCCGTAGACCTTGCTCTCCGGAAGTGCCTGACTTCATCTATTGCCCTGCCTGGAAGTCATGGTTCCCTTTGAGTCCATCTGTGAAGAGCAGCTGGATTCATATTGTTGGATCTGCATGACTTTTGGCCGTCCGGCTTCCCCCAGGTGAAAGCGGCTTGGGTCGTAGGTTCTTTTGCCAATGTTGCTCGCACTCGGAGTTGCACTCTACGGGGCGCTAGTGCGATGCCTGGGCTGTGGCCAAATCTCGCAATTTTTGGTGGGGTGCGCACAATTGGGAGTAGCATGCGACCGGGATGCGGCCGCTGTGTAGAAAAGTGGCACTGCACTAACCGGACGGCATGTGCACGAGTTCTCCTGCATTGGTGAACAGCAACTCATATTTTTTCTCCTTTCCCAAATTTCATACGGGCGGTTTGGAAAGAGAACTCGTGAGCAAGGTTCCACTAGCAGAGGGATTGGCTTATGGCTGATCCTGTGAACAGAACCGTGGTTGGTTCACAGCCAAGGGAATGAAACAAGGAATGCAGAATGGAATTGACAAAAGAAAAAGGTCATGATGCCAATCGAGTGCCATGTCAGATGACCAAGATCTCCGGCGGTTTTACTGAGAATGGTTGCAGCAAACGGCCTTGTAATTGCTTTCAACTTTTCTGACAGTGATATGGTATGCGTTTCCTTCTTTTTTTTTTTTTTTGTTGATATGGTATGGGTTTCAGTGTTGTAGTGTGATTGATGTTTTAATCCGCCACTCTACCGGACGTAAATGCCGTGCTGATTCGTCTCATTTCCATTTTTGCCACTCTACGACTTGTGGCCCAACGAAGTACCCCGATTTCAGCGTTTTTTCACACTCAGAAGAATACATAAAAAAATTCTGAAAATTAAAGGCTCCGTAGATTTGGTCGTGATCTTTCCAGGAAAAATATTCAAAAATTAAAAAAAATCGTTTCAACCACGAAATAAGTCGTGGCGGAAGTTGGGGTACTTTTTCCGTTGGCCTACACGTTGTAGAGTGGCAAAAATGGAAAATGTGACGAATTGGCGCGGCATTTATTTCATGGTCTGATTTTTTTTTTTCATTTGTCTGATTTTTTTCCAGGAAAGATCACACGACCTAATCTACAGGATCTCAAATTTTCAGATTTTTTTCTTAATTCGTCGGAGCACAAAAAATCGCCGAAGTTGGCGCTTGAAAATTGCGGGACTGGACCCGCCTGCGCCTGCCGGTCGGCGCCCCCCCAAAAAACCGGCTCGTAACTCACCGGAATGCCATTTTTCGGTGTTGGGTAGAGTGGCGGTTTAATCAGAGCAAGGATCAGTGACTGCAGGAGGTAGATCAAACCCACAAAGGGCATGCATACACTAGGACTTGGTAGATGTATCTCGCCAGGAATACCTCCAGATTCAGTCAAAATATTTTATTGTATGCTCTAAAGTCTCTTTGATGCCAAGTTTCAGGAACTAGTGAAGCAGGTGAAGGGACTTTTCTGATCTTTGCAGGCATCCTTGCAGGCTTTTTTTGGAATAGATCGAGCGTATAAACCAAAACTCACTTTCATTGTGGTGAGAAAGAGACATCATACGAGAATGTTCAGCACATCCAGAGGAGAAGAAGACAGATCTGGCAACGTCCGCCCTGGTATGTGCTCTTCGTCCCTTCCTAATGCCTTTGTGACTTTGTTGCCCATGTAGTTGCTCTCTGCGTTGTCTACTACGATGCTCTAAGTATATTGTTTTTTGTGACTCTGTAATGGGGAAGGGGAGGTGGTTGGGATGCTGTGGAGCATGTACGGGCCTTTTAGTGGTGCTTGGAGAATGGCACAAAAAAAAAAGGCACATTTGTCCCAAATGCACTGGAGGCTTGAGCTGGACTGAGACAAGCATTGTGGTTATCAGAGGATTTGTGTAATGACAAAGGAGGGAGGCGATGTTTATCACTTAAACCCTATGTATGTTATGATCCCGGTGGTCGGAACCCCACCAGGTCCACCCGCCTCGGCGGCCCCGAGATGCCCGGGCCAGGTCGGTCACGCAGGCCAGCCCAGTCCATTTGACAGGGGGGGAAATCGGTAATGGCCAGTGTAGTTGCCCGCGGTCATTTTCTGGGCTTGGGTGGCCCAAGCTGCAGCCCAGAATTTTCTTACCAGTCCGCTTTCATTTTTATTTATTTATTAAATTATTTATTTTATTTTTTCTTAATACCAAACAGAACCTGGTGGTTCTGGCTCCTTGTCCATTCTGAGAAGTGTCAATCCGGTTCCTATTCCACTGGCAAGTCGAGCACAATTCAATAGATACGCACCTCAACGCTTCTCTTCTCCCCATTACGATTGAGAGATCCGAGAAGGCAGCATTGATCACTTCCCTTTGGAAGGATATACCACCCTCACCCCTGCCTAAGTTGGCCTGTGGAGCTACTCGTTGAACCTGTGATAGCCTAACTATGAATGAGGCTCAGACTTTTCAGCCGAACCCCTCCCCCTATCAGCTTGCCCATTACTGTCTGTTCTTTTTTTTGGGTTCGGTATAGGGGTGTCTCCAGCTGGTTCCCCAAGGGCGAGCCCGAATTCAAACCGGATTTGGATGGCCCCTGCCATGGACAGTTGCTGCCCCTCGGCCATTCACATAGTGATTTACCATCTCAATGGCAGACCGTCGCTGCCTCCTCACAACCCCTGTCTTGACGAGCGATCTCAGTCCGTTGCCTCACTGCGCACTTCCACTGCCGCGCTGCACTGTAAGTCCCTCTGTTCTTTTTTTGTGTTTTTCTTTAACACCAGCAGGGGCAACTGCCGGGGATGATATGAGCACCCCCAAGTCGCATGCTCCCTGTAGATGACTCTGGTCTATTGGTGGGGAGCTGCACCTGCTGGAAACCGGGCCCAGCGTCCTTTGACAAAATACATCATAACAGTTGAATGTAAACTGTTGCTTCTGCTCTGCAGCATTGGTTGCCCTGTGTACGACAGGGGATTGACTAGAGTGCCCTTAACGGACAAACCGTCTGCCACATTCCCCCTCTGAGTTCCGGCGCCCGGGAGCGAGGTGGGGGTCTGTTCTGCCGTGCTGCTTCCTACCGTCCTTGGTGTCTTCGTGGGGAGTGGGGTACCTTCGTTACCACTGGTGCTTCGCTTTTTACTCGTCCGCTAGGCCTTGCCAACTTCTGAAGGAGGAGCATTTATGCTGGGTCTACGCGGACAGCGCTGGCTGCGGGGGTAGTCATTGAGTTCTCTTCCTGTTCGTTTTGTACCTGAGCATTTGTGGGCTGCATCGTATCTAGGGTATGCCAGCGCACTCATTCAACGCACAGACAATGAGGATTCTGTCCTGACTTGTGGAACAGGCGAATTGGCTTCTTCACTCCATCCCTAATTGGAATATGACACTTTTCTTCTCATGCTAACATCTTTGTCTGCCTCCTCTCCCCAATCCATTCCGAAGATGATTCCAAACTTCCAAAGGGCAAGTTCTGATCCACTAAGAGAATCAAGGAGTGCAAAACCTTCTCTACATTCTCTTTATCTTTCAACCGGAAGAGACTACGAGTCCCTTTAAGCCTTCAACGAAATGTGACACGACAATCTTGTAGTTGTTTACTAACCTTGAAACAATTGGCCCTTCCAAATGCTGTGCTTTGGAACTTGCTATTCATGAAATGTCAGTTCATCTCAACGCTAGCAGAGTGGAAATCAATAGACCTTATGAGAATATCATGCTTATGGGTTACCTGGAGAGCTGGATGCCGTAAAACAATAAGCAAGGGAAGAGTCTCTATCACGAAAAATCCTGGGTGGTGACCAAAGAAACAATAGAAACAGAGATAAGAACCAAGTGGCGTAGCACAAAAAAGCAAATGGACACTGAATTCATACCTTTTAAGACGGACGGACTGCACAAACACCTCAAGGAGGAATGGCTCCTTAAACCACTAGTACCTCCGCCAGTGTTGGGAAAATAGGGAAAAGTGGCAGTTTTCCCAAACTCCTAAGAATTCGGAAGCCAGGCCCGACGATGGCTGCCATTGATAAATCTGATCGGCGGTCGTCGTTTCGTTTCGGCCTTAGAACTGTAGGGAGCATTAAGGGAGCCACAATCATTTTCAACCAGGGGAGTCAGTCTGGAAGTGGTGTACAGTCACGGTGACTCTTGAAAGAAGAAGAGCACCTAGATGGAGAATGATAGGTTTCGACGAAAAGCAGGGTAGGGAGATAATAGTCTGACAGGATCAGAGAGCAAGTGTGGCGCGTCCTATAGCTCCAACCGTCTTTCTTCGACGGTGAACAGCTAGCTGTGGACTGGGAGACACTTCCCAGACATGGTTGCACGTTGGTCAGCTGTTAATCGGATGTAGAAGGGAAGCGGAACGTTGATTCGTCCAAGGAGTGGGCTGGGCAAAGACAAGGAAAGCAGAGTGGAGCAGTAGTACATCCTTCATGTTACAGGAAGTAATTCATGCGGCCGCCTCAGGATCCCTTGACGACAACGAAGAGAAGCGCCGTGTGCGTATCGGATGTGAGGGATGCTGGACCTGGTTTAGGAGGAAAAAAAGGAAAAAGGGGCATATGTTACCTGTAGGCAGACCCTTTAAAGTCGAGATATAACGTCTAATTGAGGGAGAGGAGAATTTACCTCCATATATGTGTTCTTTGAATTTTAGTTCATGTTTGGGGAAGCGTTTTGCAACTTCTGCTTGATGGGGTCTGACGCCTGGGCATGACGCCTGGGGTACCTGGGTGTGGGGAAAATTTAGTAATAATAATTTTATATTTTTTTTGGCCGTGGGGGTTTTCTGCGCGTACCGAGAGATGCCCAAATCTGGGTTCTTTTCTTTTTTCTGAGTGTTGGCTCAACTTGGCTGTCAAGGGGGTGTGGGAAGGGGGGTATAAATTGGTTTTAACTTTTAAAGGAGCTAAGGTTTAAACTTTAAAGGGAGGTGCCTTAGTGTGACCCTGTTATTTTCTTTTCGATCTTCGATTCGGTGAGAAATTCTGATGTGCCGCTCAGCCAAAAGTCGTCTGCAAACTTTGCATTGCAATTCTTTTTCTTTTTCTTTTTTTCTTTTTTTTGACAGACATACGCCCCTTCTATTCCGGGGGCCCTCAGTCCGGTTGTTTATCACCGGAAAGCATGTTTTTACAACTGAAGAAAGGGGGGAGAAACAGACGGGACATCCTTGTGGCACTAGTCACCTGAGAAGGGCGGGACTGCTTCAGGCCGGAAGGCGTACTGGCAGGGCCCAGTAATGCAGCAGGGCAGCCTTCGGAGAGGCGAGGCAGGGKGGGGGGCACCCCTAACACCTGACAGCTCCTCAGCCCGTTTGCATTGCGATTCTACATAACGTATTTATTTTTTCAGAATTTTTGTTTTGTTTTGTTTTGTTTGCGCTGGGGCTGCCTGGAACCCTGCCTGGGGGTCGTGCCCGGCCGGGCTCCTGGGCGTTTATCTGCATTCCGGACACAAGTAGGGTGCACGGGCGCCTGGAAAAACTCCCTAGATGTAAGGGGGAGATGGGTACAGCCATAGCTATGTGTGATACTTTGTGGTCGCTTGAGTTGGTGTTCTGCCTTTTGCAATGTACTCAGAGTGTAGATGGGTGACACGGTGGTGTACATGATTTTTGTGCGTGCTTGTTGAAAGTAATCAGTCAAGCTTGGGAGTGTGTGATTGACGTTGAAATCCACCATGCTACAAACATTGGAGACTCAGTTACATCATCGTGCTGATGTTTTTTGGTACAGGGACTGTTGTTGATTCGGTCATCTGTCACCCTGTGGAATTCGATTTCTTTCTGAACAGCCATGCTGGAATTCAGGTGCGTGTTCCAAGTGTGACAGGTCGTGTGAGTCATTACTCTTATTGTAGATCAATTATGTTGGCTGTCTTTTCTGACAGCCTTCCACAATGAGAATTTAGTAATGAAGGCCTGGCATTGGACAAGAAAATTGATTTTCCATCTGTTTCAAGTTTCAAGTAGTACCAGAAATTTGATGCTGGAAAACAAAAGGCGTGAGACACGAAAATGATTCCATCTGTCATAAAGCACCACTGCCCCCTTCTCAATTTTTGCAAAAGCTTGAGTGTACGGACTTTGTTGATTTTCTGTGCTTGCAACGTATAATGACAAAATCTGAAAAAAAATATCAGGGATGTGGATTGAGTGCTGAATCTGCTGATCTTTATGTTATCAACTTATCAACCCTTCATACTAAAGTTTACCAGCTGCAGACCGCATTGCAGCGGCCCTTGTTACCCTCTTGGTCAGTTCAACTCCTCATGAATTTCTATGGATTTTGAAACCGGCGGCTTTCGTTTGCCTCACAGCAAGCTTTCGCCAACCTAGATGGCCACCATGTAGTCACTTCGCTGCTTTTGTGGGCGGCCTCCGGGAGGTCATTTTGCTGCTGTTGTGGCCGGCTGGCCAATGGAAAACAATTTTGGGATGTGTTCGGTGTAAAAGGATTCACTTCTTCTCGCAGTGTGATTTCAGCTTATCCTAGCGATTTCGGTTTGTTGATCCATTTGAATTGGTTTGATTGAAAGAAAGAAAAAACAGAACAGAAACGGAAAGGGTGTGTGGGTATTTTTTTCCTATTTCTCTTCTCGTATAACAACAGAACTCCTACGAGATCCATGTCTCCCCCGCTTGATTCGCATCGCGGTTCACAGGGTCTGAGGAATGTCTTACAAGTGAAATGTGAATGGTTCACATAGAGGAGACCCGCACAGATGCAGAATCTCCTTTCAGTTGTAGGGGGTTTTGTTTCGGTATCTTTCAGATTTATGTGTGTCATCCTTGCGCAGGGGCCATGGTAAAATCTTCTTTGTATCATTCCAGTTTTTAATGGCTGTCATGCCCAGTTTAAAATAGAGCCTCACCGCACAACCCCCCCCCTCCCCCCTCCCCTCCCTTCTCTATAACGCTCGGTATATATTCGAATAGAATGTCCTGGCCAAAGTTGCTACCAATTTACTGAATACAACGGACATTATTTTCAGGTGAAGACGGTAGCGTTCAGCTTAAGCCTTAAACCGCTAGTATACGACCCCAGCCTTGCAGAAAGTTTTTGTCGCCACAAGCAAAACTCGGAGGCACTGTGCGGCCAGGCCCGCAGTTGAAAGAAAAAAAACGACGGCCTCCGAAGTGGTGCGGGTTTCATGCGGACACCCGCGGGCCGATAAGTGGTGTACTGGTGCTTTAAGAAGCATAGACTAACTTCTCTGCCTCCAGTAGCATACAGGACTCTGCCTGAAACCCTGGTTAATAGAATTAGGAATGTTAAGTTACATAGCTGACAAGTGTTTTCAGTGCTTTTCACATTGATCAAACAGGCTTCATATCAGGCAGATTCGTAGAGAAAATGTGGCGTGTTTGAATGAAGCAACAAGTTGATATGGGACAAGAAGCTTGAGGCAGCCATTCTGTTTTTCATTTTGAAAAAGCTTATGAACAGGTCAACTGGGACTCTTCCTAGATCTATGTATGTATGGAAAAGATGGGTGCTATCGCTGCGGGAGATGGGTGAGAGTATTATACGTAGATGCAAGAATTTTAGTGCAGGACAAAAGTCACCTGTAAGGTGATAAGATCAGCGAGACAAGGGGATCTGCTTGGTGCACCGATCTCTCTCTTCTTTATGGAAGCAGTAGCAGCCTTCCTCAGAAAAGACCCTTCTCCCATCGAGAAGTTAGTGATTTGGCTGACAGCAGTTGAAACACTCACTGAGAACAGTCATGCTGTGTTGTGGACGACTTGTGGTTCGTCCTTCCTATCCGAGTTTTAACAAGAGCAGTGCAGTGATTCCACCTTGCATGGGATTTGTAAACATTGGAAGAAAATGGATAGTTGTTTCTATAAACTGGTCGAGTTCATCAAGGTATATATTTGATAGTAGGGGACTAAGGCCGAAGGGCCGCCGCCTGGCGGCGCCTATGGTCGCCTCTTCAATCTCTCCGTGTGGCATATGAAAAAAAGCTTGTAGTCCAGAGCGGATAAGTTTGAGAATCCGTTTATCTCGGATTGTTTGCCGGATGATCTTATACAGAGTTCCATGATTTACGGCTCCAGGGCCTTCGGCCTCCAGGGATCCTTCAATATACCATTGCGAGGTTGGGCGGCAAATGGCTTTGGCCACCGACATTGTGCAGGAACGACTCAGATTCAGGATGCTTCGAAAAAACAAGGATTTGCTAGAAAAAAAAGAAAGACATGATCTTCATAGATTAGCTGAATCAAATCGTAGCTTTTCTCATTATCGTTGGTGGTAAGAATGTACATATAGAAATCACCACTGGGGATCTTCCCTTACTGTGAAGGGGGCGGGGGGTGTGGGTTTGGCCAGTGGCTGCATGGCAACTAGGCCACCTGCAGGGGTCCTAAACAACCTCTGTGGTCGCAGGTGTACACCTCAATAGTAGGAAGAGCTTTAGTGGTCAACTTGTCCATATTCTATATGATTTGGTGCATGGCCTCGGTGTAGAATCTCCCCCTGACAATTCATATTCTATATGATTTGGTGCATGGCCTTGGTATAGAATCTCCCCCTGACAATCTATAAAACAATTGAGGCGAAAAAGTGTGGCCTATCTAGGGACAGGAGACACTGCAAGGATGAACTTCATAACTAAAGTCACTTGGAAATCCATAGCAAGACAAGACCAGCTTCCCAAGGAGGGCCGAGTACGTTTGATCCAGCCATTGAATACAAACCTCTCTTCGGTCAAAATGGGCTTTCGGGGTGTTAAGTACCGTGTACTTCGTAAAGATCTCTAATTGTTCTTTCTGGGAATGCATTTTCCCATTTATTGATCAGGGTGGCGGACCAGTGCTTGCTTAGAGGACTTCGGGGTCCTTCCTTTTTCGGAAGTTTTTCCTGCTGCTCCATTCCCTTCCCTGGGGAACCAATGTTCAGTAGTACCCTTTCGTGCCCTGGTTTCTCTGAAAGGGGACCAGGTTTCTAATCTGGTACAAAAGGCCATACATGTTTCTAGTGTATTCTTTGTCTATTTTCATAGTTTTGTTGTAGACTACTCGTAGTTAGAATGAAGAATAAATAATCAAATTAATAGGGGGCATTAAATAAGTATGAAGGAATGGGATATGGCAGATGTCTTCAGCAGAATGTCTTTATGGATGATCTGGATAGCCAGGTGTCCAAGCACGGTAGGTAAGAAGGCGGTTGCTGCTTTCTGGAGACCTGGACCGAAGCTAGGGAAGTGGTGGAAGGGAATGGACAGGCAAGTGGATCCGCAAGAAACAACCAGGTTGCTGAGACAAAAATTAAGGCATCTTTCGGAACTTGAGTGTCATCATGTTGTTTGTGAGGCTGAAGATTTCGAAATGCACTAGACAGAAGCGTTGATGTACAGATTTTCTTGGAATTACCAGAAGCATGTGTGTGTGTGTGTGTGTGTGTGTGTGGCGGGGGGGGGGGGGGGGGGGGGGTTGCATGTGGGGGAAGGTGGGAGGGGTGGGATACAGTGGTGGGAATCCTCTTCTGATAAGTTGATGGGGGCTGAAAACTTCTCACTGCTGCCCTTCTGTTGTGCTGTTCTTCATGATTCAGGGAACAAGTCGCCCTGCACACTATCAGGTGCTGAGAGATGACAATGGATTCACAGCAGATGGATTGCAACAACTGACATATGCTCTGTGTCATACGTGAGTGTCAGTGCTTATATTCCCTTGGTATTGTAGACAAGCAATGGTCCTCATGATTCTCTGTTTCTTAAGTTTTCTAGTCTTTATTGTTTCTGTAACTTAATCCTTGAAGATTTAGACCATCGCCGGTCCATCGGTATGTTTCCCAGCTATATTGTCCCGACGCAGCACTTACCACGCCAAGTCCTTGGGGGCTTGGGGGCTCAGCCTACATGACCGAAAAGGCCGATGGCTCGAAGATGTGATTTCGTGCCTGCGTTGGTGCATTTTTTTTTTAGGCGTGCGGCAGGGTTGCATCCCTGCTGACCGCCGACCCCAACCGCCAACCTTATTGCAGCCGACCAGTTGGGCCGACCGGTCGGCGGTCTGCCAACCAGTAAAAAAAAAAAACGTCCACTGATTTTTTTTCAAATCTGAGTTGGGGGCTGTACTGCGCTTGTTGAGTACAGCCCAAATCCGCTGAGAAACTCTTGGGGATGGGAAGGGATATGGGGGAGTTGGGGGCAGTTTGGGGGCGGTTTGGGGAGGTGTATGGGGCTATTGGGGGACGCTATGGGGGTGTTGGATGTGTTATTGGGGGTTCTTGACCCCCCTTTTCTTTTTTTCTTTTTTTTTTTTTTTGCAGGGTGCCGACGAGCCCCGACCGGTAGGTGCCGACCAGCCGATCGGTCTGCGGGTCGGCAGCCGGGGACCAGTCAAGGGGCCGTTGACCGTTGGGGGGTGCAACAATGGCGTGCGGCAGAAATCGGCATCGGAAGAAAGAGACTTGGATGTACTGGTGGTTTAAACTTTAAGGTTACCTATTTGCCATCTGAGATGTTTTGTGTGGATAGGAAAGCCATCATAAGCCAAAGTGATTTGCCCACAAGCCAGATACGTCTGCCTCTCGTTCCGGTCTTCCCAGCGCCTCTCATTCTTTCTGTTTGTCCATTCCAGTGCTTGTGTGTTCATCTGTTCATCTCTTTGTCTGTAAAATTTTCTGTATGGTTTCCCTCCAATCTATTCTACCCCTCTTCCATCTGGCCCTTCGCACTCATTCGTTTTCGCCCTCTCTCTATTTGTTCCTCCTCTCTTCTGCCTGCCGTCTGCCTTTACATCCATCTATTTGCTAGCTTGCTATTCCCTCTGTTCCTGCATCTATGCATCTGCATCTATGGCCATCTTTCAACCTGTTGGTTAGTCAAATTGTTGGTCCCTCCGTCCACACGCGCATACATCCAGCAATCAATCCATCCACCTAGCCGTTCATGCATCTATCCATCTCCACTGCTAAGCAAGTACCCATTGACACAGGCAACTAATGAATCTGACTCTTTCTGAGTCTTTTCGACGGTATGTTCATCTTCCACAGCTCTTACTCTCCAGCCCCGTTCTGCCCTCCAGGTGTCTGTGAATAAGGCATGCCCTCCTCCCCCCTGTGCATGCTTCACAAAGCTCCTGACCATGCCCTCCCCCCGTTGCCCCTGCCCGCGCCCCCCCCCCGCCCCCCCCCAACCACCACCACCACCACCTTCTTTTCTCTGGCTGGGTGGATGAATAATCTGGTGCAGCTCATTTGTCCCATTTTCAGAAACTCTCCTGCTGTCCCATCTCTGTTCGGCTGTGGCATCATGGTAGCATGCTCTTTTTGGCTTTTGCTTTTTGTCTCTTTGGAAGAGGATGGAAAGGACGGGTTCCACGAAGGGAGGGGCCGCCTAGATTCAAAGGAAGGGATTCGAAGTTATTATTGATCAGAGATGGATTCTTATTGTGCCATTAAAAGCATAATAATTATTAAATAATAAGTTATTAACTTATTAATAACATGGGCCTTAACCCACAGACCCTAAGTGGCAATCTTTTACTGTTTCCCTTTTTTTTTCCATTCCAGGAAACTAACCCGGAGTTCTGTATTTACTATTTACTATTTATGTTGCATGCAGGTTTGCACGTTGCACGAGGTCCATCTCCGTCGGTAAGTGCGTGTAACGGGTATTGCATGAGGTTATTAGTGGAGTGGTGTGTCTTTGGTTATCTCCCCCCCCCCCCCCCCCCCCCCCCCCCCTCTTTCCGTCCCCCTCTTTCCCACCCACCTCGGTCCCTTGGTTCCATCGCACAATCCTCCGTAGGCCCTGCCGGTGTGATATTTGTGCTTGGAAAATGTAAACGTGGCATAATCATGGTCATTTATGTGCTTTGTGTTAGCATGAACGTAGCACCAGTGGGGCTTGGCCCTTACTCTACGTCTCCAAGCTCGCACCTCTGCCTTTGCCTCTCCTCCTCAGCGGAGAATAATGGAAAAAAAGGAAAGACTCTTGCTGTCCCTGTGAAGAACAGAAGAAGACACGCACATCGATGATGTGTTAAACAGATTTGCATCGATTGACCACACACGTCGATGGTGGAATGTTTAGCACCTTCATTCCGAGGTGCAGTCTCCTGATTGCCTTCCGGGGGAGGTAGTTTTCGTAGGAATTATTGCCCACCGTGTATTGTGTATTATTGTGTATTTTGTGTATTGTGATTGCTATTAACGAAGTTGTTGCGATCACACAATGCTTCTTCAACCTGACCTTCTTCAACAAACTCTTCAATTTAAGCCACCAGTACCTTTGTCGGTTCGAAAATACTCGGCCTCCGACCTTTCAGGAGGCTGAAACGGAACGACGGCGGCGGATCAGATTGATCAACGTTGGGCTCGGCCTCCTGAAAGTTCGGGTACTGGCCAGGACTTGTTGAAACCGGACGCCAAAGGCACTAGTGGTTTAATGAATGCGAGCGCCTTCTTAGACCCCATAACGAGGAGAGCATGATTGATTTCATGCCAATACGACAGTACTCACCCAATCAATCTAATTTCAATTGAGGATCCGGTTAGGTCCTAAGGCAAGCGGCTCCACTGACTCCTAGTCGTATTGGATCTAGCATATGAAGATGGAAAGTGTAGACGTATGACGCCGCCTTCGGCCTATGAGGGGAGATAAAGGTATAGTCATGTAGGTACAACAGTCTCTCCAACTCTTGTTGTGCTGCAGTCTGTTCTGGCATTGGGACAATGCAGGCAAAAGCGTTGTGTCTACCGCTGCACTCTTCTTCCTCCTCTATCACTCTTGGTGCTATCTTCCTGCCCTTTCTTTTGGGCTTTTGCAGTCTTGGACAATTGAGAGTGGGAAGAGCGAGAACGCGGTGCCCTGCTGCTTGCAGTACTGGTCTCTCCAACCTGTGTAGGTGTGACTGCACCACCTACTGACCTGTTTGTTTCGCTGGGCGGTTTGTGCTTGGACACCATCTCCATGAGTGTCCTCTGCGGCCGCTGGTCGTACACAGACCTTTCTCCACCCCATCTGTGAAAGTTTCCTTAGTGATTCCATTCCTCTCCCATGGCGGCATATACTCCACTTGTCTCCCTAAGAAATCACTGTTATTTTCTGCCCACTCTTCTCTTCTTTTGCTGCTGCTGCTGCTGCCTCCTTTCTGACCATTTCGGACCAACTGCTGCAGCGCAGTAATCGAAGTCTGGATCGTCACCACCTTTCTTCATCGCTGCTGCAATCATCTGGCAAGCTGTTTTCCACTGCGCCCACGATTGCTGCGCATATCTTCCCTCCTCTCCTGTTTTGTGCCAACGAGGAAGTTCCGGCTGTTTCATCTCTACCCGCTTGGTTGTTGATGCCCCAGCGGTTTTCAAGGCCTGTTCAAACTTAATGTTCCTTCAAAAAAAAAAAAAAAAAAAAAAAAAAAAGGCCTGTTCCAAATGGAAGGCGTCATCCGCCATAGCCCTGAAAGTCAGCAACTCCTCCTCCTTGGGGCTCAAGAGGGTAACTAATCTTTGAGCAAGTGCCCTCATGAGTCATGACATAATTGATGAGGGGGTTTTGAACTTTTGCACAAACTCCAAATCTGGGGGTTGCAGCAGGCGGTCAAATTCCTGCGCAAGATCACCCACTGCGTCGGTACTATTACTACTATACCCCCCCCCTCCCTTATCACCAGCAGATGTCGCTCTAGCAGCAGCCTATTACAAAGATCTTCCTAGGAGATTTCCAGCACGTAGTCTTCTAGTTCGCCAGCTGGTGAAATCTCTGATTTGGCCCCCGGTTTGGCCGAGTACTCCATTTTGCTTATGGCGAACTGGAGAAGAAAAAAAAAAAAAAGGCTTTGTGAGGCTGTCTGTGAGACCATTATATGAAAATTTTGGAATTTCACCTCCAGACCTCCTGCAGCCAGACTTCAACATCATCCTCTGGCAATTCGCTGAAAACTCCTGGGGATCTAATCTTCGTCCTTAGTTGATGGATATGCTGATTTCTTCCTGCAGGTGGGCCTGTTGTGACAAGGGAGAAGTCTGCAGTGCCTTGGAAAGGCTACAGTCTTCCCCCGAATACAACGCACGGTCATTATAGCTGAATTTAGACTGAACTATAGCCCAAATTCAGCTATAATGAACGTGCGTTGTATTCGGGGGAAGACTGTAGTGCCAGACGGAAATAAACTTGACACAGAGACTGGTGTGGTGGTGTAAGAGGGGGGGAGTGGGGGGGGGGGGGGGGGGAGGAGAGAGACAGTAGTCAGATGATGGAGATGATTACTGAGGTGGTGACTGAGGAAAGGAGTTCCTGAGAATGAAGAGGGAGAAGAGACTTGTGTGCATCGTGGTTATTGTTTATGTTGTGGACATAGGAGATATTTCATACCATGTGCTTTTTTCTTGCTTGCACGGTCTTGTCATTGGACATCATTGCAAACTCATTCGGATATTGTTGATAAGTTTTCAAAGCGTTGAAAATGCACTCGTACTGTTGTACATGAAAAATGTGCCTCCAATTGGTTAAATAACCTCCAAATCTATGTGTGATTGTGATTAAGCTTCTGAAGTTGTGTTTATTATACCCTTAGCATTTTGAATGTATGTGTAATTGTTTCCCCTGCAACATATGCACATTTGGCCAGAATCTCTGAACTACATTATGTGAGCATGGAGCGTGGCCCTGCGATTGTTTTTAAAGGTGTTCCGAAGTTCCCATGATGTTGCTGAATCCATTGAAAGCATGATAGGATTGGAAGAGAGAGAGAGAGAGAGAGAGAGAGAGAGAGAGAGAGAGAGAGAGAGAGAGAGAGAGAGAGAGAGAGAAATGTGAACACACCCACACACCCACATACACAGAGAGAGAGAGAGAGAGAGAGAGAGAGAGAGAGAGAGAGAGAGAGAGAGAGAGAAATGTGAACACAGCCACACACACACACACACACACACACACACACACAGACAGAGAGAGAGAGAGAGAGAGAGAGAGAGAGAGAGAGAGAGAGAGATGTGGACAGACAGACAGACGGACAGACAGAAGCATGGACATATGGAGCTGGAAGTGTTATGTACTTATGGTATACCTCTGTGCCTTATGAGGTGTAAGGTGAGCAGAGATGCCGTTCCATTATGCACTGACATTATGTCTCCATTGTGTGGGCCTTACAGCTTCCCCTGCAACATATGCACATTTGGCGGCGTACCGTGCAAGGCACTATATGGAAGCGGGGAGCGACTCCGAGACCAGTTCCCAGCAGCAAGGGGAAGCTGGTACTCCGGTCACACCGTTGCCAAGAATATGTGGCGGCATTGAGAACAGAATGTTCTTTGTGTAGAAAGCATTAGGCATGTTTCTACCTGCCTGGTGGCTGAATGTTATTTTCTCCCAACCTGATGATGGATCAGTGATACTGCTGCTTACCGTCATCATGGTCGTCATCGTCCACAATGAATTTTCAATTGTGGTACTTCATGTTGAAGAGAGCACTACTGCATGCTCAGCATCCCTCTGTTGTCCTGGTTGCCGGTAGCAGCATACGGCGGTGGACTACCTGCGGGATCTGAATGCAGGGGATGCTGTGATGTGCTGTTTTGCCAGCATACGGCGGTGGACTACCTGCGGGATCTGAATGCAGGGGATGCTGTGATGTGCTGTTTCGCCAGCATCCATCGTGGTTACAACCGCCACGCCGGATTTGTTCCGTCGAAATTTGGTGTGGAACGAGAGAACGAGTACACGATCGTCTTGGTATTGATGCCGTAGTACGGACAGCGTGCTAGTCGTCGCCAAATTCACTAATCGTAATGATCCTGCTGTTTTGCTGTCATAGTATCATATAGATGTCCTCACTGATTTCAATTGATTTGTGCATTTGCGTCAAATACAGTTCGGAGAGAGACGGCGACTAAGTAGTGAGTAGCATGGCCCTTGCACTCTGGTATGTACGGCAGTGCGTACTGGGAGTCGACAGATTAGAGGTTAATCTGTTGCCAGCGTATTTGGTTAACGTAAAGGCAGTGCTCGATTTGTGTGCTTGTCTGATGTTAGGCCTTCTTGTTTTCTTTTTTGTCTTTTTTTTTTTTGGTTTTTTTTTTCTGTCCTTCAGGACATCCGCTAGAATTGGAACGGTACAGAGAAGATTAGTGTGGCCCCTGCTCAAGGATGACACACATAAATCGAGAAATAGTTATTTAAAAAAAAAAAAACAGAAGGCTTCTTGTTTTTTGGTGTTCAGGCGATACTGTTAGCTATGTTCACTGCAAGCAGGGCTCAAAGGACCACCATCTATTTGGCTTCCTGTTGACAGTGACAGTGTCTATTCTCGCGTAGGCAGCTTATATCCTACGGGCCAGCTTACCAGTAGGGAAGTTACAGTGGACCTGTGGAGTTGTGACGAGGGTTGCAGCCAGGGTTATGGATGCGAGCTATCCCTTTCTGTGAGGTGTGACCAGTCAGTCCAGTAGTACTGAGGATGGATCAAATGACTCGAAATGAGGCACACAGAAAGTTATGGGTGGGAGCTATCCCTGTCTCCGCAGGACAATGTCAGACCCATAGGCTCCTGGCAATTCAGCAGCAGTTTGGCTTCACCATCCCCGTTCCGTCCCCGTCCTTAGTGCTGATGTACGGATCTGATGGCTCGTGTTGGGAATCCATATGTTTGAATTTCTAGCAGGTTATCTCGAACGTTCTGTACGTGAGAATTATGTTCCTGTGATTATGAGTGTCATTATGTGAGTGGAGGCAACTGTGGCCACAAACTGAATCAGGGATCAAGAATCTGCCCATAGTCTGTCGCGTTAAACCGCTAGTACACCCCGCCCCAGCCTTGCAGAAAAGTTTTTGTCGCCACAAGCAAAACTCGGAGCCACCGCGCGGCCCGGGCGCCATTAAAGAAGGAAAAATCGGCGGCCTCCGAAGTAGCGCGGGTTTCGTGTGACACCCGCGGCGGACCTATGTGTGGTGTAGTGGTGCTTTAAGCACAGCTTCTGTTGCTTTGGTTTGTGTGTGGAATTCCGTTGACACCTCCTTTTGTTCCCGGTTCGCAGGATGAACTGCCAGTCTACAGTTCTGCGACCCAAGGATCTGTGCTTAGCCCTCTGGCCTATAGAAAGAAGCGGGGGGGAGGGGGGCCAGTGAGGGGGGTAAGATGTCTTGATGCTTTATTGTGGCATGGATGATGTTGCATATATAACTCGTGTCCCTCGTGTCTAGTGTTCCAGGACGAAGGTTCGGACCCTGGTCACTGGTTTTGTTGCTTTTGTTCAGCTGTGGACTGCTATAGACAGCTCTTTTTCTAGTACTAGACATCGACTATTTCTGTTCCTGGTTTAAGTATAGACAGCTCTTTTTCTAGTACTAGACATTAACTATTTCTGTTCCTGGTTCAGGGAAAAAACTGGTTGTGACCAAGGTTCAGAACCTTGGTCAACGTTGGTCACTAACCTTGGTCACTGGTTTTGTTGCTTTCGTTCAGGTTTGGACTGCTATCGACAGCTCCTGTCGAATATAGACAAGCTCTTTGACTCCCCGGCGCAGGGGATAAACTAATTGTGACCAAGGTTCTGACCTTTGTCACTGTTTTTGTTGCTTTTGTTCAAGTGTGGACTGCTATAGACAGCTGCTTAGAGTAGACATAAACTCTTTATTCTCCCTGGTTGTTCAGGGGATAAACTGGTTGGAGACACGAACAGCTACTTTCTGGCCTGTCCCGTCTTCGTTGTTTGTCCTTGACAGGTCATAATTTCTTGCTTCGACCAAATGGTTCTTATCCACCAACCCTCCCCCCCCTCCTCCCCCCCCCCTACCACCACCCCCCCCCCCCCCCCCCAGCTCGTCTGTATGCACTCGTCGAACTGTGACCTAGCCCCCTTCTGTTGCTGGCCAATGTGTGGTTTGTCTTGGTTGTTCTTTCGTGAAGTCAACGATGTCCATATATCGGTCTTGCTCATTGCTGTAATTCTGTCCCCTTCCACCTTTTGACTGGTCATTGCTGCCATTTGAAACTGGCCGATGTGTGGTTTGTCTTGGATGCTCTTTCATGAAGTCGATGATGTCCATATATATCGGTCTTGCTCCTTGCTGTAATGCTGTCCCCTCCCACCAGTCATTGCTGCCATTTGAAACTATATCTGAGAATTTCTGAGTGATAATAAACCAGTGTGCATTGGCCCGGATCTCTCGGCAGATGTCTGGGCTTTCCCTGAATGTCTGGAAATCCCGGGCAGTCACACTCACATGTAGGACTATTTTTCCTTCCTAGTATTATACTAATGCTCATTGCAATACCATCATTTGCTCTATTATATTCCATGGATGAGGTAGTAGATCCTGCAAATTACTATCAAAGTGATTGGAAAACTCAATTTAAAAGCACATCGCTGCCAGCATGCATATCGCAATCAGGCAATTAGCAGGAGTGACAAATCAGTGATCACACCGGCGGAAGAATCAACAATGTTGAAGTCGTAAAAAAATAAGAAAAGAAGATGCCTCCAATTATGACCATTCAACTTTTTAGCTTGATGTTCTGAAAATGCTAGTTTCCTAGAAGCTTCTCGTTCACGTCTCTCATCGAAAGGCATATCACCTCACAACACCCAGCACAATGAAAAAACAAATTGTGTGCTCTCTGTGGTCTCACAACCAGCCTATGTGACCACGTTCTCTATTCACTACTTTAGACTGCACTATGGCATTCTTCTACTCAGCAAAATGCAAACTTTGAACTAGCATTTAAACCAGCAGGACTTCATAAAGTCGCGGCAGTGAACAAGCCGCCATGATGATGAACGCACCGGCCCATACATTGGCGTGTCGGTTCATTCTAGTAGAAGCGCTTTTACTCTATATTTTTTTTCCTTGCAGCCGATGTATGGGCCAAGTACTGGTGGTCTAACCATTGCCGTGCACTACAATGATGGCACCCACCAATGCCTGAATGAACACTACCAGGTATGTTCATCCCCAACCTCCTCCCCCCCCCCTTCCCCTCCCCCCCACCACTCGCTACGACCTGGACCTTCCCTCATTGTGCCAACTTAATTCTCTCTGCTTCTCACCTAGCTATGGCTGGTGTGCACCTAACTCGGTTGGGGATCCAGCTGCTAGCATTGGTTCCTTTGGCATACTTGGTACTGCCAGCTAATAAAGTGACCTTCTTCATGATCGGCATACATTCTGCCGCAGACCTTTGTCAATATCTGGTGTGGCGGTGGCTTAAACATAACGATCTCGATGTGATGGAGAACTAGGCAAACCTTCAGGGCTGCAGGGGCCTTTATGTGCAATTATCTTGTGTACAATTTGGGCATCAGGTGGCAGATGAGAAATGACATGCGTCCCCTTATGTTTGCCCACCACTGTCTTAACCCGAAAAAAAAACGTACGTACATTCTATTCAACTAACCTCGAAAAAATGGGTTCTTCAAAATTGCTGATTTTTTTCCGAATTGTGAGGCTCAAGGCCTCGATAAGCCCTATTGGGCCCTGTTTTCAGCAAGAAAGGCCACCCTAGGTGATGGCGGGCCTGACAAGTGACGAGAGGGCTATTTTGGGCTTTTCACGCAACTAGGGAATTCGGGCACTTGCTACATGCTGCACTATCAGCAGGCAAGCGCCCACGCGCTCACAGGCGATCAGGGCACACGCAGTAGCCATAGTCGAGCTGACCTGCGAGATGCTGGATGGGGTGCATGGTGGTCCTTGGGTGCACGTGGCATCTGTGTGGGGGATCGAGGTTGTCAGTGAAGCGTGAGACATGCCTGGTGCTTGAGGCGAACGGCGTTGGCCGAGATCTGCCCGTACTTCGGGAAGCTGTTGATGTCACCAGCGGCATTGTAGATAGGCTAGATAGGATCTGCTATTCATAGTCTGGGCGCTGAGTGCCAGATAGGAATTTGACATTGGTTCATTGTTGATGATGATGAGACTATTTCAGCATTGCCAGTTGTGAGCTTTTGCTGTGCTCTTATTTGGTGGAGCTCGAGTTGCAATTCTGCTTTTGGTTCGAGGTCAMGACTATTTGGTTTCATGTGTATGATGCTGCTTGGTTTCTGGAATTCGCTAGCGCTCATTTTCCTTGCATTTTGGTGTCGGAGCTGTGGTACGTTGCGCTAATCTGGCGCTCATCTTCTGCCTATGTGGTGCATGCACACGGTCAGCTGGGTGAGCGGCCGTGGGAAGTGTGCAGTGAGGAGGGCGAAGGCAAGCAGGCGACCGAGGTGGAGAGGGGTATCGCCAGGAAGGCTGAGAGTTGATATTGGGTGTTTCGCAGTGTGATGAGAACTATCTGCTGTACGATTGATGCTGAGGTGGAACGACGGTGATATGCTGGTTGTGCCGAAGCAATCATTGGTCATCACAATCGATGTCAAGTCATCTGGTGAGAATATATGTGGTTGCGGGCAGCTATTTTGAGGTATGTTGCTCTTAAGAGTCTTAACCTTCTACCCTCTCCGACACTTCTTACCGTGAGTATGTGTGTTTTGTCTTGATAGTCTCTCAAGTGAGGAGTCGAGTGCACTCAACCTTCAGAGTCGGCATTGTTCACGTGGAGCATCTGGAAGGAGAGGGCGTTGCCATGTGAAGGGCCCTAGACGAAGCACTGGGTCACGGTCACCATGCCAACCCATCGGGAGTAGAGCACGCATGCTTTGCTGCTTTGTCCTTTGTCTGCCTGCTGCGCTGTACATGGGTCATGAGGGGCAGGCCAGCCCTACAGGGGAGACGAGCACCAGACATCTATAAATAAATACTACCTTCCATTGGTTGTGATCGTCGTCTTGTTTGCGACGTTAAATCATTCCTTAGGACCTCAGGGGCCATCCTTAAACTGCCTCTTGATCAGCCAATCGGTCGGTGTAAGGCTCGGTGCACGTGAAGGTAAACATGGTGCAGGGCTGGCCAGCTCAGCATTGACTTGGGGCACAGGGGTGGGCCGTGTGCACACCTTTAGACACGCATGCTATTTGGATGGCTGAGGAATGTTGACGTCAAGTGACATCAAGAAGAACTGAGGGAGGGGTAGGTTTCTGGTGATCAGTTCAAAATAAATTCCACTCTGCAAACAGCCACACAAATGATACTTTTTTTTTTTTGATTAGTTAGATGTACAGCCATTAACACATCTGACAGACAACATACACATCTGACAGACAGCATAGGTCGGACTAGTCGAGTAAAAATAGTTCCGTTTGTAGGAATCTTGACTTACCTGTTGGACCAATTGTGTATACTCTGACATTGCCACCAGTTAATTATTTTATTATTTTATATCGGTCTGAGCACTACGCTGCGGTAGGCAACCGAGTGAAACCGTGTGCAGTGCAGACAGTGCACAGTGTTGTAGCTTATGAGCGACAAGGAGGACCCTGTGTCGGACGATCGGATCTTGCGTTCGTCAAGACGCCCGTTGGTCCACGTTGCTTTAGGATCCGAGGGTGATCGTTTTTTGTTATGCCAGTTAGGGAGAGGCAGCAGCAACAGCGGAAGGTTAGGGACGCAGAGGCAAGCACAGCCTTTGCAAGCGAGACAACTACTTTAGCAGCCAACATGGGCACCGCTGCGCAGCAAAGTTCCCAGGCCAGTAGTTCAGGGAAGGTCGGGGTGACGGTCGCACAGACCCTAAGTCAGTATGCTGGCGTTATGGCAAGCCAACAGTTATTGTTAACTCCCGATGAGGTCGTCGTTTAGCGAACAAACGCTCATGAGGCACAACTACAGAAGGCATTAGATGAGGTACGGGCAGAGAAGGAGAGAATGATCAGACGAAGGTCTCAACAGAGACAAGCGAACGTTAGGGAGTTGGAGGAGATGGACCTAACCAATATGGATGACGATGTAAGGACCGTCAGGACAACCTTGCCAGATGTAGTGAAGATGTGGGACTACCATACGTACCTCTTGCAAGACATTCAGAGAAGCCTGGCCGTGCTGGTCGGGCGAGTTCATGCCACACCATCACCACGAGGGCCAGGTGCCTGGCCCGTCGTACAACCTCCTCTTGTCCCACCGATGACTGGAGTAGCCTCATTTACAGTGTCTCCAGCTTCGGTACAGAGTGCTTTCCATCTAGTTATGCCTTTTATAGGAGGGTTCCTAGCAGGTCTTAGTGTACAAATTCCTATACAGACAGGGCTCTCCCGACCTCCGTTGCAGACTGTCGTAACAGGGCAGCCTGATGTCTCGCAGCCAACACAGTCGTAGGGCACACAACCCCAACAACGGCCTGCACCCCAGGGCCCACAGCCTGGCGTAGTGCAGGCACCGGGATAAGGACAGTGGGTTTCAAAGATTGTCATTGTTTCACGGAAACCCTTCTCAGGAGATAAGAAGAGTGAGGACCTCAGTCAGTCTATGTAAAGTGCAAGTTAACTTTACCAATTAGTTGCGCTTGTGTTGAGCGGGTGCGCTTACAGGGGCAAGTGCAATGCCTCAGTGGACCCGGGGAATCGACATGTGCCAACAAAAAGCGCATGGTAGTCAATGACTACCTCAAAGACATTGAGTGTTGTTTCCCGTAGGTGTGAGGGGAACTGAGACATCGAGTCTCGTTCCTAGTCAGCAATGATCTCCCTATGGATATCTTGCTGGGTATGTACTATCTTTCGGTTGCACAACCCCACTTTGACTGGGACCGAAAAGTGGTCAAGCACACTTTGCCCTAAGGGGGGACCGCCAGAGTACA